TGCAAGAAAGTAAAATCTGTTGCGCGATTTAAGATTGAGAATTAAGACCAGTGCAGAATTATAAAATAATAATCTTAATAAACTTCTGCTTGATCATTACAAATTTCATCTGTTTGAACGATGCCAACGTACTCGTATCCACACAAACGTTTTCCTCTATGTAACTTGGGTTTCTTGACGTAAGTTGAAATAAAATAGAACAAAATTGGAAAATACATGGTAACTACCTTTTTACAACACTTCTCTTTAACTTCACTTCTTGTTTGTCTGTCTGTCTGTCTGTCTGTCTGTCTGTCTGCTACAAATCTTGTAATCGAAATTTAATACACTTCTACTTATCCTATCGATCTGAAATTTTGCACACTTGTGTAAAGTTGGAAAGTTGGAGACAATGCATGAATCAAATGTCAAAATAAAAGATTTTAAAAATTAAAATTTTTTTTTTCAATTAAAAAAAATTTGAAAAAATAATTTTGTCAGCTACAAATCTTATAACTGATATTTGACACACTTTTACCTGTCGGATTGATCTGAAATTTTGCACATTTGTGTGAAGTCAGAGGCAATGCATGAATCAATTAATAGAATAAATAATTTTGAAAAAAATTATGTATTAAAAAATTTATATATTAAAAAAAACTGAAAAACTAATTTTTTAATTTGAAAATTAAATGAGAAATTCATTGTACATTTGTAAGATTGGAGACACTGGATTCTTTGGAAGTGTTGTCTTTAAAATGTAATTTTTAAACGCATATTATTTATTTAATATCTTCAAGCTTGAACGATGATTCGACACGCAAAGACCAATTTGAAAATGTTGCCTATTGGCTCTGAAATTATACAATTTTTGTCGGAATTTTCTGGCTTCCATATAAAGGATTCAGAATGCTCAAGAGTGATGCCAAGAGTTGACGCTTTTGTATGTCAGGTATTCATTACAGCAAAAGCTTCATTCACGCAGCGAGGTGACGCACCGACCCCAGACCACGTCTAATATCAATAGAAGCTGACGCCCGGAACCTGACCGGTCACGCCATCTTCACTCTCAACGGAGAAATTTAATTTGCCTATTATGGAAGCCACACTTGAAAATCCATTAGGATTAAAGAAAGGCTCATGAAAATTGTAAAGACATTAATATTTGCTATATATCTACAGGCTGGCAGGCACTTTTACACAGACAGTTTTATATTCGTTAATTTTTGGTGACGCATACTTTTAGTGTGAATTGCAGTGCTTAATAATTAGAATTTCGTACTTCAACTCGTAAATTCGAGAGATGGATAAAATATGTGTACATAAAATGTACAATTTGTCACTAAGGTATTGTTTTGATTTACCTATTTCATTTGTTGTGATTTTTACCACAATTTAATTAATTTTTCTTGATATCTTATTGCTGAATTATTGTTTAAGGGAGGACGTCAATGTACGAGAAAAAAAATATGTTTTTATACCCATATTTATATTTTAATTTTCTTTATACGAAGTTATACGATTTTCAAAATATTATCAGATATACAAATGAAAGAAAGATTTTGTGGTTAAACTCGTAGCGACTGAAGATACATTTTTTAAACTGTAGCTCTTAAAATGGATTGTTACCGAAGTGGATTCCGCCATCTTTTCCTTGTCAAATGTTTTCAGAACTCGGCACAAGTTGCTAACGGGTTTCGGATTTTCCATGGTCCACGCAGTAGCGTGACCATCGAGAGCCATAAGCCGGCTTTCGTGTCACACTATCCTCCTCTCATGAAAATTATAGATGAATATTATTTACCCATAAGTTGGCCAGAGGTCGGCCGAACACTTTAACAATGAAAGATTTTAATTCGGTGAGACGTGCAGCAATTCTCTCCCGAGATCGATAAGGCTCAGCTAAGATTAACTGACACAATCATTTCTTCATGAATTTTACTGACTGATGAGAGTGTCACGATGACTTCAGTGAGAGGACCTCAATTTTCAACGTCTCGATCATAATTCTTTAGATTCTTCTTGCTGCTGGCAAAGAAAAAAATTCCTGAAAATGACTTGCCTAAAATATCGCCTCATGCATTCTATGTCACATTTTAAGTTATTGTCTCTACAAATCAAATTTTCCTCAACGAATTTCCAGTTATTTTTTCTCTAATCAATTTCTTCAGCATATAATGCCGCTAACTTTCAATTAGTATGCAAGTAGAGTATGAAAAGTATAGTATTCAATGAAAAGCAGAGTATGTGATAGTAACGAATGAAAATAAGGGAATAATTTCAACGAATAAAAATATGTTTTGGTCTGTTTCAAAATTCAAAGGTATTAATTTTTCGCAATTGCATTGTATCACAGACCGAAAATTTATACAATACAAACAAGATTTCGTAAATATTCTAAAAATAATATGTCGCTTATCGTAAAATTCACGAAATGGATTCTGTTAAGGGATCGTCAAGCCTGCCACCCACTAAGCTTGGCTGATAGATATCGACGTCATGTTATAATTATTCACGCGCCAATATTGAATCGAAGACGAACGTTGAAGTGAAATTATTTTCCCACGTTGAAATGCTTTTAATCGATTTGCATTAGGAACTTAATTGAAAAATCAGAGGCTGTTCTCAAGTTACGAGTCTGGGTGTCGAGAGCAGCTCCGTGCTCAATGTTCAGGTGGTGATGGTATGATTTTGCTATGAGGAGGAATATTCATATTTTATAAGTATATATAGGGCAAACCATATTTCCATTAATTTGATATTATTTTAAAGGTGATTCTTGCCAGTTTATTCGTAAAATTGTATTAGTAGTTAGATACTGATTAATTGGCGTAAAATATCAATAAATCTAACGAGCTTTCTTTGGATAATAAAATCATAAGTAAAATTAAAAGTCCTACTAAATTTTGGCGGAAGTTCCTTATTGTAAATATTCATTCAACGCTTTTCAAAAAATGCCAAGTCATCTTTGCACTACTGGTAATTTGTTTCATTTCATACGGCCGTAACAGGATTTTTATCATAGCGTTACAGCCTAATCGATTCTCTATTATGTGAGCACAAAGGTGTTATTTGTCGTGCATCAATAGAGGTTGAATAAATAATTCAGACTGAATGTTCCATTAGGGCCAAATATCGATGAAGTAATGACAACGTTGAAATAAAACCCTTTCTCTTCCTTGTTACACTTGTTGTAACAAGAGAGAAATCTCTGCTTTGTTGTATTGGCAAGTTTCTCACATTCAATATATTATATTGAAGGTTCTGATTTGGAAATATAAAACTCTTCTATGGATTCTGCTGTAATTTCATTGAAATTTTTATCAATAAAAGATTTTGTCTTGATGTAATGTTGTTGATGAATTCATTATTCAATCAACGATGTCGTTATTTTTTAACCTGAAATTAAATTTTAGCTCAAATTTTTTTTCTCCAAGTCAAAACAAAAAATAATATGATGTCAGCTGTATTTATAATTTGAAAGTAAAAAGCATCAAAGAATGCTGAAATTCTTGAAAGATCGCCGAAAAAACTGGAAATAAAACAAACTCGATTGAGTTTAAACGCAGCCCCCGTTGGTTGTTCGGACAAGGACAGCAACTTTTTCATGGGGGATTTAATGTATCTTCCTTAGATCAAAGTTTTTTGGAGAAGGGAAACCATTACGACTTTGAGATAGTTTGCAAGAATAAGTTTACTCTCGAAAGCCATTAGAGTTGAAGCTTTTTACCACCCATCTCAATCAGGATGCATTAAGCGACCTGAAGTAGAGTCCAAAGGCTCTTGCCTTAACGCGTACAATGAGTTCGGACTGGCCTAAAAACTGCAATTGAACTCCAACTTGCCGTGACAAAGATAGCCCACTTACAAAAATGTGGTGCAGTGTCCGGAAATTGAGCGCTAGTGTAAACTCAAAGCAAATAACTCAATTCGCAATGGAAGGAATACTTGACGTGTACGAGATTACGCCTTTATCGAAATTGGTTTTGGTAAATTTCCAGTAACAGAAAGTTACAGGAAATTCATTTTCACAAATTCGTATCCAAAAGTTCCAAAGTTCCAGGAATTTCCTATACATAACCATACGCATTCTTTTCTTTCTATGTCGACATTACTTTTCAAATGACAAGTAAATTTTAGGACTCAAAAATTCTTGACCTGAGGATTCTTCGGTGCTGAACACAATAATGCATGCTAAATATATAATTTTGAATTGCTTCAAAACCAAGTTAAAAATTTGATTTAAATGAATTTTCAGAGTTGAAATAGGTCTTCAATATTAAAATTCTGACTACAATAATCTTACTGTTTGATGAAGAGTGTTTGAATATCATGTGCATTTGTTTTCAGAGGTTGGAAAGTTAAAAAAATTAAAAAATTGAATACCTTAAATATTTGAAGTAATAAGGCGAAACCATTTTCGCAGAACTAAACCGTAATTCCCAGTAAAAAAATAAAAGACATTTTTCATCAGAAGTGCACTCCAAATTCGAAATTATGGGCAATTCCTTTTATATTTCGTGGAATTTATTATGATATGACATTATAACAGCATCCGGTTTAAGCCATTGACATAAATACTGAGTGCCCAAAAATTGTATATTCCAGTCTTCGCACGCACAGGAGAAACATTTCTGATGTTGGGTCACAGTTGAAATTATAGAGAACTAAAACTAGCTGACACGAAAATATAATAAAAATGTATTCAACATATAATATATATCATATATTGAATGTAATATAATATAATGATATAATAAAGATGAACACTCTTCTTCGATATGCCACTCTGACTGTGATAATCAAATAGGTTATATAGTTATATAGAATGATAAATAAAAAATACTTGGCATATTCTTACATTTAAATTTGATGCCCGCCAATTTAGCTATAGTCATGCACAGAATTATTCAGTTAGATCGACTGAAAACAAGTGACGAGAAATGTTTAATTCATTGACAAGTAATCATAATATTACGTTAAAAATAAACAAAGCAATTTTTTGTGATTGAAAAACTTACCAGAATTGAGGAAGAGCAGCAACAGCATCACCTGAGAAGCTCTTCGGATTATCTTAGGCGACGACATTTTTACGGGCGATAAAGTATAGTTTATTGCCTTGATCTTCCTTTTGGATGGAGTCACGAAGATGCCTTTATGGGGCATATAGTTTACTTAATAAAGCCAAGTGATGAAGTCACCCCTCTGTCACCAGTTCACGATCTTCTTAGTATTTTAGAAGTTGTCACTTTACGTTTATTTCAGATAGCCAATTTTATTACCAGCAAACGTCCGAAAATTTTAATATTTTTACTTTTTATTTCATCTGCAGGTCAAATGAATTTATCTATTCAGGTGGTTCAGCTATTTTACGTATTTTGTTATTCGCCAATTTACTCGAAATAATATCATAATTTTTTTGATGTGAAGACTGAAATTCTTATTCAGCCAATAGCTTGAATGAGTTTTTATCATTTAAATTTTCACGAATTGTTCACAAAACGACTAATTTTGCGAAAATTTTCTAACCGTTGAAATCAATTAGTGCAGTGTTCATCATTTGCATATTTTCTTTTAATTTTCTTTGAATCTGCTAAGGATTGAAAGATGAGATAAAACTCTTATTCACGTAAGTAAAGACACTATAATATTTCACCTTCAATCGAAATTTATTTCTTTCATTCATACCAAAAATTGCTGTGTGCTAGTTAAGAGCTTTTAAGTTCTCAACGCTAAGCTCTTTTTAAAAAACTGTCTTTCCTTCTAATATTTTACTCTCTTTAATCAATATTATTCGCAATATATGATTGTACTATCATTTTATGTGCTCAAAAACTCATGCTCCAGCCTCAGAATATATCAGCTGCAGGCGTCACGACAGCTGCTAATTATTGATTGTGTAAGTCGATCGCCTGGCGCTAGTTTGCTGAATGTCACGAAATTGCTGACGAAAAAATTATCTCATTGGTAATTAATAGTTTTTAATTGATGTCAATTCTTTTAAGTTGATGGAACTCGTGAGAGACCCATTCGTTCTTATTCAGTTCAAGAAGACCTCATATATTTCAAAATTTTACACGTAATGTAACTTGTATGTCTTTTATTAGAATCAAAGCTTCAGGAGGAGTTATTAATTTTCAGATTTTGTTCTGAACTTCGTGTCTTCTGAAGCCGCAGGAATTATGTTTCATTGCGATTCAGAAGGTCCATCTGGAAAAGAAATATATATGTGTTAGTTTCCGAATCAAAATCAATAACAAGTTCTTTAAAAAAGGCCTAGATTCATAATACGTTGCATGCTCAAAAAAGTTGAATTGAAATATTGGGATGGATTTTGACATATCATTAATGCAAGCAAGGCAAGCATGAATTGGATATTAAAAAAAATTAAGTTCCAGATTTTCAGAAAAAATTTCATTACGAAATAAAAACGGAAATATCTAATGAAGGTTTGCGAGCAAAATTTGCCTTAAAAGAGACTTTTAATACACAATCTAGATTATAATAGATTTTTTGAGTATAAAATGTATTTCTCCATTCAAGTTATCCACAAATATATTTTTTACATTTTATGCACTTTAGTATTGGCTCACAATCTTTATGATCTTATTTACTCGGACATTCAGCTTCTTACAACTACATTTCAACTTCCGTCGAACTTTGCAGACTAGAAAATGTTTCTATGAAACCACTTTCCTTTTCCCTGGCTTTATTTTTGTAGCATTTGGCTTTTTTGCAGCTTTTATGGCTCAGCTCAGAACATTTTTTCGCGAACAATGCCGGATACTAGCAAAGGCCAAAATGAGCATCGGAGTCAAAAGCGACCTCTTCTCGATTGTTGTGAATCCAAGTTTCTGGCTTCCCCGTTCGATAAAGCTCACTTTCTGGTATGAAAGACATTCTGTATATTTAATTAAATTTATTCACTGACACTGAAATTCGCGATCGATGAATCTCACCTTTTTGGTAATAATAGTATTTTTAGTAATTATGTAACTATCCTCTCTTGTACAGAAATAAATTCACCGTGTTGTAAGTTTAAGCAGTTCGAGATCATCAATTTTGGTAAATAATTAACTTAAATAGAGTTATTTTTTGACCGTCGAATCTTTGACTCTGATGATGAGTTTATTGATGGCTACGGTAATGATAGATCTAAAATGTAATTTTATGCCGGAAAAATGAGAACATAAAACATCGCGAATAACAATAATAGATAAGATCAGAGTGTTTTACATACATTTAGGTTTGTAACATTCATTATTTATCATGTTACGTGGGAAAAAATTAGCACATTGTTAACGGTATGGTTGGAAATTTTATAAATTTGCGTATATCAGTTTTAATTTCCCATTTGCAACATAATTTATTCAATGCATCAGGAAATAAAGCATTGTAATTTTTAGCAGAAAAAAATGATCCACTTTTTATAAGTAATTGGTGTAACTTATTTTAATTTATTTTATATTCCGCTTGACCATAATTCGCTGTCGATTCTCTTCTCCGTCACTTAATCCCCGATCTACTGAGGATTAACGCAGTCATTCATGATTATTTCGCGTGCCATGTAAATAAATTCTATCCCATGCTTTATCGAAAGTAATATCTCGAGCTCACGATATTAAATACGTTTGTCATGATTAATATTTTTACAATATCCATTACACCATGGCAGTCGATAACGGACTGGCTGCATAATATTATTTACGGTTGCTAAAGGTCAGGAAAATTATTTTTTACGATTCCTGGCCGAGGGCTGAGTAGGTCAGTCATGGCCATAAGAAATGGACATCAAATGGAATTTTCTAAAGCTGCTTAGCGTTATTTTCGATAGAATTGGGGATAATTTTTTCCCTCAAGTGACACTAGAAACATAAAAGCAAAGTAGTGAGAAGTCGTAGGTGAGTTACCAAGAGACGGCCATTCTTTATAACAAATTAATATATTGTAGTAAGGAAAAACGCGTTGTCGGGAGAAATTATCGCGCAAGAGATCTTGCAAGAAGGTTTGCGGGAAATTGAAGTTGTTTCTAAGTTTAGAGAAATTGATTGCTAACTTTCAGAAGCTTGTCGAAAAACTTGATTACTATTGTGGTCTGATATAATTAAAGTGATGCCGCTCTGTTTTAAAAACACCGAAATCCGATTCCAATCTGGATGCTTGTGACTTAATAAAATAATATTTAATACAAGCTAAATTTGCTAGTTAATTTAAATGAAATGAATCCTTTTATTTTGGAATTCGTTATATTTTGAGAGTTATTTTGATTTTTTTCGGAGCCCTTATTGATCTTATTCCTTCGAGTGTTTTACAACCTAACTCTGAGTTAAGCCGAAGTTTCACTTGGGCACACAAAATGGAAGCCAACAAACGACTGCATATTTTGTACTCATTTCTCCACTTAATTTCACTCAAGTTTGAGGCTTCTTGCAGAGTACAATGGAGTCCACAATTACGTTCTCGTCACCAACGATCCAAGCTGTCACGCAACAATGAATTTCAGTCAAACGCTAATGGTAAGCTGGAGATTGCCCGATCACAGACCTCGATACTGTGCACCGTGGATCAATTATGAAGACTTTAAGGCTCACTCTAGCATTTTCAATTTAAATATTCTAACACTGATTATCTGAGAATATAAGGCTCACTCCAGCATTTTCAATTTAAATATTCTAACACTGATTATCTGAGAATAATTTGGACAAATTTGATTTTTTTGCATAGGCTCGCAGCTTGAATAACTAGTTCTAACGGCAAAACATATTTAACAAACATAGCATAATTATAATTGTAATTCCTACACTTTGCCTGTTTGTTTTTACGTTACTTAAAATAAGCACTGATTGGGACAATGTTTCGGTTTACTAATTAGAAACCTTGGATGAGGCATTCCATTAAAGGAAAACGTTTTAAATTAACCATGTCAGATAGAGATTTACTCGTTTATCTGTTAGCGCCCTTCATTCACTGAAAAATCTCCGAAAAATTAATGAAGCAAAAAAAAGAGAGTGAGTGTGAATTATTTATTCTCAGAATCCGTTCTCTACATTCAATATCGTCAAATTGAATGCTGAGATTTTGATGAGACAACATCAAGAACTTTGTAGGAAGCTATGGTGAATAATAATATAAATAACAAATTTATAATATTGGGCTAAAAATATAATACACTGGATGCAAAACATTTTTTTCAGCTTTATAAATTCGTAGATAAGATCAGGAAATACTGATAAGAGCGTCATTGGTTCGACGGTGAGATGTCACGCTTGACGGTCGCGGCCACACCCACTACTTTATCTCGGTACCTTCGTTTTCTTTTTATCTTTATCTATATATTTTCAACTTTTTATGTTTGTAGTATTGGCGAAGGCATCGATTATTGATTCTGATTGGTACAGTTTATCTAAGAGAATTATAGAGTTCAGTTTTGTAAGTTTGGCATTATATAAGAACGTTCCATTTCTAAATGCCGTTCCCAGACTCATCGGAATTTGAGCTGGAAAGTTTGACTATCAAATTTTCTGAAAGTTTGACTTTTTGGCTTCCGAAAGTTTGACTTTCATAAGTACAAAATAATGTTATAGCAATAAGCTATAAATGTAATTTCATGTTCGATGATTAAAATAGAAATGAAAAGTCACAATGCAGTAATTTGAAAACATTCTCAGCAGCCATAATTATAATTTTATGGAGGATCATTCAATGAGAAATGAAAACAAACAACGGAACAATGCTTACATATTAAAAAAAGGGTATAAATAAATCTAAATCAACCTAACAGATGGACCCAACTCAGCCATTGGGTCTGCACAGTTATTTCTTGCAGTGTCGTGAACCAGCAAGCCCTGAGATAAGGTTTCAGACTGTGCATTGCAAGCGACGTTTAATCAAGTAATGTCCCCATTTCCTAAGCCCAAGACATCGTTTCCTTGGCCCTCCAAGACCGAGGCAAGTCTCTGTAGCATAATTACCAGTCAAGGTTCAACGTGTGTCCACTGTAATAGGTCACCTATAAACAGTGTGTGTGTCCAAAGATTATACATTAAAACGTAAACTGTTTAAAAGTAAATCGTGAAGCTGAGTGAATTGTAAATGAGAATATAGGCGAAAATTGCATGTGATTCATGAACTAGCAAAGTTAAATAGAATTTTAAAATTTAAAAATTATAAACATCAAGTGACGTTAAGATTTTCTTTGTTTTAGTTCAACAAATTTAGGAAACAGTTTTTAGATGAAAAATTTCTGTTGGTTGATTAACAGTGAGTTCTGTATAAAAGCATAGCAGATGAAATAGGAACTTTCGACAATGAATGAACGATCAAGGTTGCAGTAACCGGTAAAATTTGTTGTTTTTAAGTATAACTTTTAATGAAAGTAAAAAAATTAGATCTAATAATATTAATAAAATTCTTACGAATATTACTCGTAGTTTTACTTTATGCTAATCGGTAACAATAATGCATTTGATCAAATACGAAGTAAAAACGTGCCTCTAATGTAAGTTTTAAAATCGATTTTAAGCATTGTTCGAAAATATTAGTAATATTAGTCACCGTCGTGTAATAGGTGTTCAGGAGGCGATGAATTTTTTCTTTCTCCAAAAGTGAATTCTTTTTCTGTCTATACAATCAGAACACACGGTAGTTAAGAGCTCGTTATATTTGCATGATACGTGCAGGATTCTTTCACGTGCACCACATGCAAGGCTAACTTTAATGCCCCAGAATCCTAATGAAACTATGCGCGTGATGGAAAGCATGCGATTTGCATCGCACATTCCCTGCATTATTGATGGTTATTATATATTCATAACACCAGCATAACACAGCCATTAATTTGCCGAGCAGCACTGTAGTGTGAACACAATATGTTCGTAACGAACCTTAAATCATTCCTTGCTCAGTGCAGTGCTTCGATTTGTACATGAAAAACTAATTCCTTTCTCTGACCCAGTACGATCACCTACTGCAATACTTCTGGATTGAGCTACCATTTTGCGCTGAAAGCCAATGTGCGAAGGCAGTATTTTTCTCCTTGTTTCAAGGTGCGAAGCTGAATATATATGTTTTCATTGAAATCTCGTTATATAAATTTTTTTATCTGAAGTCATTTATTTAATTTAAAGTTATATTCAACTCGCAGTATGTCCAAGTATCTATTGTACATAGAAAATTTAATTGTCTATTTAACCATTGTTTATCATTGGTAA